TCCTCCCACTTCCACCTCGGAATCGGCAGTGGCTGTAGGAGGCCAATCGGACTCTGATGCTCTACTTTGACTTGTTGACAGGTAAGACACCTCCTGACGAACTCGGCGACGTCTTTCTTCATGCCTCTCCACCAGAACGACCCTTTCAGGTCGTGATACATCTTCGTGCTCCCGGGATGGGCCAAGTAGGGTGCGGTATGTGCCTCTGATAGAATCTCCTTCCGCAACGCCTCGACCTTCGGGACCACGATCCTGCCTCTGAACTCCAAGGCACCATCGGCGCCTAGCTGAAAAACCTGTACACCTCCGGCGCGAACCTTGGCTTCCATAACACGAACAAACTCGTCAGAAGCCTGCTCTCGCCGGATCCTCTCTCTCAGTGTTGGCTGAAGCTGCATCGCACTGACACTGGCACTGGTACTCCCCGAGACAGCTATGGGGAGTGCATCAATCTCCTGAAGCTGCATCCGGGCAAACTCGTGAATCAATGGACTCTGCTGCGTAATGACGTACGTTAAGTCACCCTTCACCTTTCGGCTTAGGGCATCCGCGACGACGTTCGCCTTCCCCGGATGGTACTGGATAGAACAATCATAATCCTTGACAAGCTCAAGACAACGGCGCTGCCTCATATTAAGCTCCTTCTACGTGAAGATGTATTGCAGGCTCTTATGGTCTGTGAATATCTCGCAGCGTCCGCCATAAAGATAATGTCGCCAGATCTTCAGAGCGTGAACGACTGCTGCTAACTCCAAGTCGTGCGTAGGATAGTTTTTCTCATGAGGCTTAAGCTGACGTGATGCATACGCGACGACCTGTCCGTCCTGCATAAGGACACATCCCAAGCCCTGTCTCGAAGCATCGCTAAAGATAGTGAAACTCCGAGAAGGATCGGGGATAGTCAACACTGGTGCTGAAGTTAATCTCCTCTTGAGCTCCTGAAAGCTCGCCTCAAATCGGTCAGTCCATTCGAATTTCACAGACTTCCTCGTCAGCTGTGATAGAGGGAGGGCGATCTTGGAGAAGCCCTCGATAAACCTGCGATAGTAACCAGC